CTTCTGAATAAGTAAGTTTCCCCTGAGGAGAAAAAAATAAATAAAAATACAACATACGCCGACTTCAAATCTTATTTTGCAGATTTTTGCATGCTGTGACTTATACTCCGCGCAGCCGATATTCTGAAAATCACGGTACATGCCCTTCAACTAGAGCTTTTGTCAGTGCTCAAAGCCTTAATTGCATTTGCTCTTATCCAGAGTTCCAATCAAGCTTGTCCACAGTTCAAATGTAGTGTACTACATGTATCGTCTGGGGGAACTCACTCTTTCTCCCTATCTGGCCACGTCAGAGCCACCCAGTTGGTTATTTTCATACTTCATCTTCCTTCTAACATTGCACCTTGCCAGAAAGAAGGTATTGAACAACACTCCATCCAGGTGTGAAGGAAATCACTTCAACAGAATGATTTCTTCTCCCATCAGTATTCAGATAGATCAAGGTCCTCAACATCCTCAGAATTCTACTTGCATGTATTTGAATCTCTTCCGAGCTACCAGCTTTGAATTCCAGCCTTTTGCCAAATTCATACTCATCCTATGGTCCTCAGGTCTAGAAGAATCCCTCAGCTTCAATGCGACAGGAATTCCTGCATTTGATACACAGAGTTGTGATATAATTGTAGCACTCAGAGCACTAAGAAAACATCGCCTCTGTTTACCATCCCTCCAAATTTTGAAAAACAAACAAACAAAACAAATGTGTTAAAGCGCTATTTAATAACCCTAACTCCCTAGGCAAAATCATATGAAAATTGGAGGATTAAGGACTGTTAGGGATAGCTATGGGACATGTAGTGGGAGCGGAGAGTAAGACTTGGGAGCAATATTCTTTCAGTGAAGGTTTGTGTGCATGTGCGCTGATATGCAAATATAGGTAAACATAGGTGAGTATTTTCTTACTAGAATGGAAAATCTCTTGTTAACATTAGCTTCTGATGCTACAGGGAGTAACAAAGAAGGGCAGTTTTGAACGCTTTAGTGACATATAAGTTAAAATTGTGCTGAAGACAGAGAGTACGACTGTGCCCATAGTGATAGGTGTTTACAGCTATTGGCTGTGTCTGTTGTCAAGGTGTTCCTATATTTGTCATTTAAGGCATTTGGATGTACCTTCCACAATCCGAAGTGATATTGGAGCAAATACCAAAATGCAGAACCCAAATTAAAAATTAAAATATCCTAAACACACTACTAAATGAAATATTGCATTTGTGAAATTGTGTACCGGTGCATGCCTTCAGACCTTGACCTATGTGTTATAACCACCATCTGGCGGTGCTTGCATAGTATACAGCAGCAGAAGCAGAAGACATAAGAGCTTTTAAGAGTAATTCTTTTAAGAGTAATACTTTTAAGAGTATTTACAGGTTAGAGTAGCATATTTTAAATTGATAACCTTTTAATCAACAATGGTGTATATATATTATAAATACAATGTACCATGCGTATGAGATGTTTCCTTGATATAGTTTATTCCATAAAAACTGATTTACACGAAAAATAATTATACTACACTGGCTATTAACAACAACAACAACTACAAAAGAAATGGGTATCAATCAGCAAAAAAAATTAATAACATTCATAAACAAGTTTTAAGAAATGTTCTATTTACTTTTATCTTACCAGTACGGAAGCGTATGTGACCATGAGATAATGGAACACTGAAACTCCCACATGATAACACAGATTTATGATGATTTTTCACAGAAGTACATTTTAATTAGGGAAACACAGATTTCAACTAGATAGGTTGTACTAACAACCACACGGTGTTGGGCTATCATTTGGTTTGATGGCCAACAAAAATTAAAACACACATTTTCATAGACACAAAGTTATGTTTGTGTTCACGACCATTGCAGTATTGGATGAGATTTGAAGGTTTGCATGGTGAAGGGTGATAATAATAACATACGTTGTTGTGGTAGCACCATGGTCTCCTGACGACGGGCAGAGCATACTGTCCGAAAACCGTTGAGTACCCTCCGGTTCTTTTCAGAACCACACATACTCACATGCCACATGTTGCTATGCAACAACTTACCTTATCATCATTGCAGTATTAAGACCAATCTACCAAATTCAGTAAAGCATTAGGTTTATGTTTACCAACATTTGAAAGATCGCATGAATTCAGAATAACTTTATACATCCATTATAACACACCCATCAACAGATTTTCATTTAATCATTTTTCAACCTGCTGCTAGAGGGCGCTGTAATGATTTATGACGTCATCGGTAATTTCTTCGTTTTAAGTGCAACTTTGACAGTGACTTACATTGTTGAAAGCAAGTTCTATCATTTTCCACTTTCTTATGATTAGGCACTTACAGTTTCAAACAGAAGGAAGGGTCCGTGATTTGACGCCCAGGACATAAATGAAGATGATGTTTATCATCTCGATTGCCACAAAATTCAAGTTCGGGGTCTCACGGTTGATTTTATATTGAATTTCGAAGACTAATTTATTGATTTACAAGATTAAAAGGTTATTAAAGTTTAAGAGTCATTTCGTGTAAATACTTCATATAAGTGCCACGCTCACAAAATCGATTTACTTTGATGAAAGGACTTAAAATAGATTAACTTTATGCCCATTGCCATGGTCCGTCCACTTCCGAGCTTAGTTTCCGATGATAACTTGAGTTTGAAATGAGATTTCTAACTTTGGTATTGCCAGAAGCAAGTTACTGGTTTTGTCAAAAGGTCAAAGGTCAAGGTCACTGAAAGTTTCTGCATGTTCATTTCAGTTAGACATGATATTTGAGTTTGGAATGTCAGTTTGCCCTGACAAACTTCGATTTCAACAGCAACGCTGTTATTGTTTATTAAATGTCAACTGCGAAGTATTTCACAAAAGTAACTATATCATGACAAAGTTCATCCTTACTGCAAGTTTCTGAAAAATCCCCTTTATATGGCCGTATAATACAGCATGTTTTTACAACTAGCAAATTGCATTTTTACCCAATTTTTATCAAAATGGCACTTGCCTAGGGCACTCAGAAAATTTCTTTGGCTATGTTACAGGCATTGTCTTTTCATGTAGAAAATTGTGGGTATTTATATCCTCTGTGCAGTGTAATATGGTAAATTGCACAAAAATCTGAAAAAGTGTATTTTCAGTGTTTTCCTTTGTTTTGAGTAATAACTAAATAGCACATTTTCTCAAACAGAATCAGACTGTGTCATTTTTAGACCAGTGGATGAATAGTAGGTCGTGTACTTCCCCCACACCTTGTTAGGCCCTGTCCACTCCCCCTGTGCCACTGAATCTGTGCCACTTGTAATGTCCTCACAATTATTCAGTCATCCACACTTATAATTATGCTTTCGAAACTGGGGTCTGTAAAGTAGAATCCTAAAAATAAACTAAAATATATAAAGTGGAGATGCTGCGTAGCATTGTGGGGCATATACGACAAGAAGTAAACAAAAACATATTACAGTGCTCACCGGAAAATTACTCCCGAGCTTTCGGTGCGGTGCACCATCATCAGGGGACTATGGCTTGTTGTTTATTGTTAGTTTAATTTTTTAGGATTCTACTTTAAGACCCCAGTTTCGAAAGCATATAAGTGAGTGGATGACTGGATAATTATGAGGACATAATGAAAGCTCCAAAATGCCTACATAAATGCCTATATAAAATACCTTAGAATTGCGCACATTTACCCTTTCCCCATATTAGAAAAGCATATTCTTGGCAAACCTGATTGACCATAATAAAACTACATTGGTCCCCCCCCCCCCCATAAAAAAAAAACAAAAAAACAAATGCAAATTAGGAACCCCTCTTAAAATAATTTCAAGTGTCACCTCTTTTAATTTGTTTCTCTACGCAGTTGTGTAGCCAGCAGCGAAGAATTACCACCTCCCCACCCCCTCTATTTGTAAAGAGTGGCATTTTGTACACAAGTACCTTTTTTTTTTACCAGCGGTTCCCCAATATTTTGTATAGAGTGCTTTTTTTTTGTACGTAAGTGCCTTGATTTGCACACGAGTGCCCTTTTTTTATAGGAATTTCGCGCGAATGTCGGCAATTGTGCCACATTACAGTACCCCCTTTTGTCTTGTAGTGCCCATGATCGTAAACCCTTGTAAACCCTTATAAGGTGCTACATAATGGGTTTAATATTTCTCATAACTGTTTTCTCTTAATGTCCTGCCCCTAATTGCAACGTCGCACACTTATGTAAAAATGCTCTTATTTTAACCAAAGATAATTTCCTGGGCTGAAATTCGGACTTAATATCCCTTTTCTAAAACTCATCCATTTGCGACACAGTAACCACCTTGGAAATTCCTAGATTTTGAGTAAAATCCATATATCTATTTCGTGAAAAACTTGTGGGGTACCAAAAAGTCGGTGGGCATTCCTTGTGGGGTACCTCCCATTGTTCCGGTACCCCACAAGGCAGTGGTTGTACACGCACACACTTAGCATATGGGGTTTATGAGGTGCCATTATCTATCAATATTCGAGGTCATCCTTTATTTGACTACTCCTGTCCTTAATTGACCTATATCTATCTGTCTCGTTTTGCGAGTTAGCCACGCCCGTTGCGCAACCATGTATGGTAATAAAGATCGTTTGTCTTAGACTTGGTGCTTTTCGTATTTCACAAGTTAACGTCGACAGGATGCTGCCGCGGTAGGTCAATTATTCGACGATCCTCTATTTACACCATAAATATGGCAACCACAATGCACTTCTTGATTTTCCGGAGGCCAGGTGACCGGTAAAAAAAACTCAAGCTTATTCCTTCCCCAATAAGAATGACCTTGCTACGCCACTGCTAGGGCTATCATGAATCTATCTGCTAGCGCTATAAGAATACTATATCTGCCAAGTTTGGACCACTCCGTCACGATTTTTTCAAATTTGAATCTATAAGCCCCTTCACCATTGGGCGTTCGATATAATGGTTTCGAATACGCCCGCTGTCATGCACCTGGTTATTTTGTTTGGTTACGTCATTATGGGCCAGTACTTTCAAATTCGATTATCCCATGGAATTGATTATGTAACCAAACCTATTATTGACTGTATAAAAACCTGGCCCAAGCTAAGTTTGGCACAAAGGGCACTTGAGATGCCAAACGTGCCATTACATCACATCACATCACATCACATCACATCACATCAACAAGCTTAGTTTGTATGTGATCAAGAGGCGTGTGGTCGGCATATGGATTCGGTCTTGTTGCATGTAATAATAAAAGGACGGACATTTGGTGCCTTCAACTTGCCGAGTCCGTGTTTTGTCACGTTGCGGATGGCCGAAAATTTGTTAAACGTTAATGGCGGAATATCCAAATCTACACAGCGTGAGCAAGGGGGCTGCGCAGGCACAGACCCGCTGGAGGTAACTATACTGCAATGTATTTTATTATGTATTTATTATTCTCCTTGCACAAGTAATGTGCTTTTTAGGAGTCTACACATCAGGATAAAGCATGGCGATCGTGTAGCCTAGCCCCTGTTTAGTTGCGATCAAATTAAGAGTCGAGACCGGTTTTTTTTTTTATATTATTCAACAAATGACCTTTTCAACCTAAAGCAGACTTCTCTCAATTCGAATGGCCTTTTTTTTTGGGGGGGGGGGGGAGGTAATTTTGAACAGTTCTTCTTGGGATAGAAATTACGATTTTCCCACACGTTTTACGCGGTTTACAATTGGCGCTGTGCGATTCAGCACGGTATTGCGTGTTTACAGTACATCGACGTGACGCCATCTTTATTTTTGTGTTGTGTTTTGTCATACCTGCATGTTTGAAATGTCACAAACTAGTTTGTCGCTAACAATACTTCTCCGTGGGTTTCCTCCTAAAACGGTTAAAGGCTTATGATATTGCACTGTAACTTTTAATGTCGACCCTCATCCCGAGTGGTGCAAATTACTATGACATCATGGGGTGTCAAATTACAAACGATTTTCGTTGACTAAATATTAGTCTTTCATTTTATAGCTCGAACAAAATAGTCAACCCATGTTCTCATAATTGATTAACATTTTTTTTAGGTCGTGTACGTGAACTCGCTTTGACCTTTACTTCCGGTTCACCCGAGAGGTCAAAGTTGCAGACAAAATACCCTCGAAATAAAAACGAACCGAGTTTTTTTTTTTAACAAACGACGGGAATCTGTCGTCATATCATGACGCCATCAGGTATTGAATTGCAAGGAGTTTAAGGGTAAAATATTAGAAAATGGTATCAGCTCTATCTTGAGAGCTAAGTATAGTATCGTGTTTGTTTTTGCGTGAGGGTGTAAATGATGCCTCGGGCAACAATTGTTATTCCCGGGCACAGACTGTTTAGACCTTCACTTCCAGTAGAGCGGAAGTTTTGTTTCCTACAAGCAAATTAATTATGGAGGTGTTTAGAAAAGAATAAAGGGCCCATAAAAAAGGCAGCACGACGTCATCATCTGAAAGGACACCCTTCAGCGGTAAATTAACAGGTTTATTTTATTTAGAAAAAAAGGGTCAATCGCTAATGCTAACAAAATGAGTTTGCATTGCTTTGTGTAGACAAATACGCATGCGCAGTTGTCATTACATCCCCCCCCCCCAAAAAAGAATGATTTTGATGTGTTTCCTCACAGTTGGATTGATACGGTAGTCAAAATCACTCAATCATTTCACGACGAACAAAATGATCTATATCTTAAGTATGAAAACTTGTGAAATTGTCACGGCGGGGCTCGAACCCACAACCTTACAATCATGAATCATGTGCTAGACTACACGTGTCAATTAAAAATGTTCGAAAAGACATGATAACTTATCTGTAAAATTGAAATTTATCTTCAAATTACAGGCACATTAAGGCTATTAACTCGAATTTATAACTTTCATAACTGCGCAGTTGCTAAAACCTATTTTGTCGTAAAATATATTTTAATAAAAAGCAGCGACGTGACATGACTTATAATGCAAGGTTCAGGAAAGAGACCACGCAATCGCTGTCTGTCCTTACGTATGAATAAATACTCGTACACATGTATGTATGTGGTATTTTCCAAACGGTGTAAGATCCAAAAAATGATTTTCATAGTTGAGTCATTGATGCATCACGGCAGCTCTACGTGACCTTTAACATCAGTTAAAGGTCACGTACCATGTATGGTTTTACTAGCGTTCATGCGTTTTGAACGAACCTACGTTGGTACGTTTATGTGAGCCAATGGGATACAAGTATTTACTGAATCCTCCCTCAACTCCGCCCAACCAGAACGGCCACAGGGAAACCGACAAAAAGATTGCTCCATTCCTTCGTGCATTGAACGACTTCTTGGTTGACCTTAACAATTACTGCTCCACCCTAGCTAGACTCCACTCAACCAGAACGATGACAACAAAAAGAAGTTGGGAGGGCGTTGCTATACACTTACTCTGAGAAAAGGAAAGGACTGATAGTCGGTTGGCTTATGGTTGAATGCCATCTCCAATATGCAATTTTGTTATATTCTTTAAACAATTCGGGGATTATTAAGAAATCAAACATCACACCAAATACGCTTGATGTTCCTAACCCCAAAAGGGACTTTTTTTGCTGGTATTGTTTTTGAGCCGAAATGAATTATTATTATTTATTTTTGAGCGTCTGTTTTGAAAATTCGGCGAAATATATTCAAAAGGAGAGTCACTTATTTAAAAAAATGACTGAGATAACACGAACGTACCCTATTGTTACGTCGTTTGTTAGCATTTGTAAAGACAGCCACTGAGGTGACACAAATGTAAACCACCCGGCGTTACGTATTTTTTTGTTGATATTTGCAAAGACGGTGACAAAACGTCTCCTGTGTAGTGTTACGTCTTTTTTGATTTTGGTTTGACTGGAAACATGCACGACGTTCAGAACATAACACGATTCCATAGCCAAACTTCAGGTACAGCTTGATGCTAGGAACTTGACAACCCAATTCCTCGATTACCACAAGGATTATATACATGTATGTCGGGGATTAAGCGGTATCTTCGTGCTAGTTTCTTGCTATATGCATATAGCATTACTATATGAGTAATCGTTCAAAACGCATGAACACTTTTTGTATTCAAGCTTAAATGCGCGACTGTGGAGTCTTCACCTTCATGCTGCAATTTAGTGTAATATACAGTGGTGTTTTGTCAAAAATGTCATATCGTAGATGCTTTTCCTGCATACCACTCATCTCTGCGACGTTTTCTTAAGATTTACAGACATGAGTTAAAATTTTAAAATGTTTACAGACGATTTATTGACTTCGTTTAACATTTGTAAATTTAGGGTAAATGGAATAGGTTAGGGTAAAAATGCATTTACATTTATTGAACTTGAATCTGAACATTGGTTTCACATTTTCAATGTCCTGTTCCTCGACGTACCTGTTCCTCAACGTACCTTTATGCCATTCAAGAGAAATGAATAGTTAAGGCGGAGAACACAGATGGTCTGCAGAGCAGACATCAGAACACGGGCACAAACTCTGCAATGCTGTGAATGGCAGACAGGTGGAAGCCATCTTGGCTTCCTTATTTCTCTGTATAAGACTTCGTCTTAAGGCGGGACAGATAGAACATGTTTCGAAGATATTTTGCCAACTTTGTCAAGGGTTGTATATAATATTAAAAGGTAATTACAGATCATATCTGTTAATCTGCTTGTGTTTTTTTTTTCTTTCGTGCAGTGAAAGCTAATAAGGAGAAAATTATGACGCTTCAGAAAAGGCGTTGCCGCAAGATCGTCTGTACCTTCAGTTGCGTGGTTCGTCGGACGAATGGCAGAGCACGTTAAATTTTACCTTCACAAGTACATTGTACGTCCTCGAGGCCTCGGTTCAACGTGTAGCGCTACACAGTCCGGTAAATTGAACTTTTGATATGACCTAGAACAAATTGCAAATAGAATTTATTTTCATGCTATCACGCTAAGGAATCTAATTTCATCAAAGGAGTGGAGTTGTTTTCGTTTTTTTTTCCTTCACTTTTTCGATTCTAATGTTTCATCATCCGTTAACAGTCATATGGAGGGCGTCATGTTTTTGTTGCCTTGCTTACCTGTCAGAATATCCGTTCGCATTCACGTATGACAACTTCGCGAAACACGACTGACCACAGCAGACGACTTTCTTTGTCTAACAATAAGGCCTGAGACGTAGTGACGTCATACTTTGTAGTAGACGGACCCCACTTTATCTGGCAACCCAACTTCGCTCCCATAGGAAAGCGCACATGTAAAACAAGCCATTACGTCATTACGTCTCAGGTCTATTAAATTTAACACTTGTTATCAAATACTACAGGATATTTCCTTGGAAAAAAAAAAAGAAATTTGATTATATTTTCCCGTCCCAACTATTTATTGGTTTCAAATAAATCTCGTTGTGCTCAAATTAACCATTTGTTTCAGGGAAAATCCATACATGAAGAGATCCATTTAAAGTTAAAATTTAAGTGTCTACGCCAATAGGCCAGAGTCCGATTTTAATTATTACGGAAAACATCCAAAATACCAGATTCATGTGATCGTTTTGTGATGAATTTAGGTCGTTGGCATAACGTAAAAGCAACCTATACATTTTAAAGAATAAATTTATACTAAAAAAAAACCGCTGTGATGACAAATAAACTGGATTACAACTTGCAGTGAAAATTAAGCTGAATTCTGGGCCTGGGCTTTGGAGAAAAGAAATTATTTTGAAAATTTTGATTATTTTTGAAAACGTGCCGGGGGGGGGGGGTGTGGACCGTGCCTTTGAAATATTTTTTTAAGTAATAACTTGCGGTCTGATCCGAAGAACCATTTCGTCGAGACTCCAGTATATGCTTTTCTTGAGTAGGCCTAGTGCATTTAACTCTTGACGGGTACAAGCAGATGACCCAATCAATTTTCATACCTCGAACAGGATCTTCAAAATTTTGCTGTTTAAATTACAAAATGTACTTATAAAAAATGTGTTTCTCATCAATCTGAAAGACATTTTTGTTATAATTGTGATCAAAGTGTTTTGAGATGTTTTGTTTCATATTTTCAAGTACTAACAGTACGTTTGTACTGTAAGCAACACAACCTTAGCCCAGTACACGTCTAAACTTTTTTTTTTTTTTTTTTTAAATTTTCCGACGCAATGTCGTCTGCTTGCACTCGCAACTGGTCATGAATCCTAAAACATTCGCTTATACAGGGTGTTTGTAAAAAAAGAAAAGAAATGGAGCTTATTTTGATGATTTCTCGAGTATGACTATTTATTTAGGAAAATGGAAACCACAACCTGTTACATAACCATGTCATTTACCGTCTTTTTACTAAGTGATGTATCTGGCATGCCAGAAATGGCCTTGGAGCACACATGCACCATTAGACAAATTGACAGTAGTTAGCATGTTGAACATAACAAAATCCAGGACGTACATACATTATTCAAAGTCATTTATTCAATTGCCTCCGAAGTTCTCATTGCTGTGAACACATTCCTGATATCGTATTGAGTCAAACTCGTTGAGCGATACAAAAGAACAAAAGAACATTCTAAGTGACAGGATAGGGAACAATAAAGTGAAATTGTAGGTGTTGAACCTATAGGTGACATATGACGTGATAAAGAAATGCATTGGAAATGTTGTACATGTAACGTGTATAGTACACACACTGTAGTGCTCAACTCAAATTTATGTTGAAATCTTTCGGCAAAGTTTGTCAACCATTTTTTTTCTATCAATCAAATTAAAAACACAAGCAAATCTCTGTTTCTTTGGAGCTCTATCGTCGTAATTGTATTTGTTTAATCATCGATAAATAAAAAAAACTTAAACAAAATAAAAGACTTGTTATCAATTATATCACGTGTTTAAATAATTACAAATAAAAATGTAAATGTCTTGCAAAAACTTGCTTAAATGCTGAGAGGACTCCCGCACTAGACTATTATGTGCGCATTCTGTTTGCTTTACCGACTAGATTATTTTCAAAACACATCATGTACAATTAATGTACATGTGTTTGCCAAATTGCTTCGATAGAGAGATTCCGGCATTCAGCAGGCATTGTGCCAGACAGCTTTCATTATAAGAGATCCTCTTTTGCTATTTTGTACTGCTCAACGAGTTGGAATCCTCTTGCATTGTTATCATGATTAATAACCGAACTCAACCATCAAAGTTCAACAGCAGGTTTTGTTTAAATCTGTTGGGATAGGTACAGTACCTAAACTGATGGTCTTTTACACTGTGGTTGGCATACCTCCAGAAACTAAGTCCAACAGTGTACAATTTCCCATGTGGGTGTTGGAATTTGCCAGAATGGGTATGGTTCCTAGTAAATTAGGCTGTTAGGGTTAATACAAAATTGAAAAATTGAATAATAAAAGTGAAGACGGTAGCGATGGGTTGTAACTGTGGGTGGATGAGCAAACCTTTTCTTTGGCTGAGACGTAAATGCCCGTCCTGCGTACGTTCAAAGCGAATGAACACTTTTACATCCCCTGCACTTACTCGTGCAAGCACGACAGCGTTCATTTACCTCTCACGTATCTTCTCGAGCCTGGCCCAAGTCACTTGGGTTTAAGTATCCCATAAAGCCGTGTCCGAAACGGGCTTCCACGGCTATGCACGGAGCTACGGCTACGAATTATTGTTCCACTTCCGCACTTTTGTAACAAAGTCTATAAAAAGTCAAGATTTGAAATATTTCTCAGTCCCAGATTCATGTCTTATTATCATTTTTGCAATAAATGACCTTTGTTGAGATGATATATGAAGCAGGTTGCAAAATCCCCCTCCCCCCCCCAAAAAAAAGACAAAAAATAAGAGGTGAGAAGTCATATTGTTGTAAATTTAATGGGGGGGGGGGCAAAATGTCCCTACCCCCCTTTAAAACTGATAAATCGAGAAAATGTTGAGAAAAGCAGGATTTTTTTTTTCTTTCGGAAAACATGTTTTGCCCCCCCCCCAAGATAAAATTCTGGCGACGCCAATGTTTCCAGCTCTCGCACGAAACTTTATTCGAAACCGTTCGTTTCTTGAGCTCCACTGCGCATGTCTGTCATCACGCGAGGAGCCAGGCGCGAGTACGCTGGGGGAGTACTCGAACGCACTCGAAATGCCCTTTATTTGAATCTTAACCCCCAAAAATGCTTGCAAAAACACCCTTCCAAAACTCCCTTCCAATACAAAGAAAAAATTAGATTTTTCACACCTTGTTTGTCGCGTTTGACTCTTTTGAATGGTTTCTATTGCAATTTGTTCTGGGTCTTAACTTAAACTGACCGGACTAACAACCAGATATATGAATCTGTGTCTGATGTTCGCTACTGAGACGTTGGTTAGCCGATGAACTGCACCAATGGAGTTACTTCAACCTGATGGAGGATGAATGAGGACCCGAAGATGTGTAGGGCAATTATCTTAATCGATTTTGTATATAACATGATTCATTGACCGTCCTTTCATTATGTTTTAATTGTTGCAATCAATCCACTTATCCAATAGAGTTTGCTTTATATAACCTAAACTGTATTCTTTTCTCTCTAACCAATATTAGTTTGGTCCCCAGCTAAGTTGTTAAGTGCTCCAGAGGCGTATTGTGGTCATAAATTCAAGAACAAGAAATTATATATGTACAGTGATTTCACCCTATCGAAATTGCAGGTTTCTAGTTACTGCACTTTCAAATGTGCATCTTTATAGCAGATGAAAGTAACTGTGATGGTTTGATCCATAGAGATATATTGAATTACTAGTAGTCCGGTTAAATTAAAACCAAACAGGGCCTGCACCCGATTTCACGAAGTGCTGCGACGCGTTGCCACTTGCCACTCGCGACGCGAAAGTTCTGATGAACGCGTGTAAGTTCCTTGACACTTTCTTAGTGAGTTTATTGCCATAAACATTACATAAGCGAGATTATAATACCGAAGCAATGTGTTTAAAGTTGTAAATGGAAAATTCAGTGAATAATTATGAATTAGACTGAAATGTTGCAGTTGAAATTTCAAGCAGCTACACAGTCTACTGAGAGCTTGTTTTCCTTCAAAATTGCATAGCAAGACCGCCATTTTGATTCACGTTTTAACAAATTTCGAGATCCGACGACTCCTTGTTGATTATTCACTGTGCGCTGACTAAATACATAAAACTGTCGCCGAGTGGTGCTATAAATACACATACGTCGCACTTACAACGTTGCATGAAACTAGATGGCAGGACGCGTTGCAACGCTGCGATGCATCGTAAGTTACGAAGAGTTTGATTGAATCGGATGCTGACCTAGAACAAATTGCAACAGATTTTTCTAATGCTATCATGCGAAGAAAATATCACTACATTTGTATTTAACATACTAAATACATGTTATTTCATCAGAAGAGTGGAAAAGTGGAGTACATTTCTTGTATTGAAAATTAAGATGAAGAAATTGGGCAGCGATGTGGTAATAAACCTCTACAAATAATATTCGTGGTCCCAGATCAAAGCCTTATCCTAAGTGTCGTGAATAAAATTATGACTTAAAACAGACACTTTCCCCGTCAAATGTAGAATATGGAACCAAGTTTTTGGTTTCCGACACAATGTTGTCTGTTGCACTAGCATATGTGGTCATGAATCTTAAACATTAAGCTGATATAGGCAAAAAATGCTTGGGAAAAAAACCTTCCACTCCATAGACCTTCCACTCAAAAGAAAAAAATAGATTGTTCACATGTTGTGTATTTTTTTAAGTTGTTTGATTGGTTTATATTGCAATTTGTTTTAGGTCTTAACTTAACTTGACAGGACTATACAGCGCTAACTCTGCCTTCGCGCGCAAGTTGTAAGAGCATAATGAAATTGGCTGGATTCAATTTTGAAAGTGTTACTCCAAATGCAACACACAAAAAGAACGTTTTGCAAACAACTTAAAGCGCATCACGACGGTTAAAAAAAAAAAAAAAAAAACCGCTCATTTGCTGATCGTGGGTTGCGGTTTTGGCCGTATCAGTTTCGATAACGCACTTGTATAGATTACAAATGCAGATATGCAAAAACCTGTATAAACGATGTACACAATTTCGAGTTGTACGTCCTCAATTTCGAGTTGTCTTTAAGTTTGTGCACAAACATGACTGCGCCCAAGAAGGCATCAACTTTGTACATGAGTGCCGACTAGTAATTTAATGTAGCTCTATGGTTTTATTTTACTTTTCTATGCATCATTTCAAAGTTATTATTTTTTTTAATACAAGAAATAAAACTGTGTGACGATACACAGTGAAAATGAAAAGCAGCTGCATCCGATTTTAGGAAAACAATTTAAGTTAGTAACCACATTGCGTATAACTTTGCCTATAAAACAATTGATTAATCCTAAAGATTTGTGTGTACACAATTTCGTTCAGTCGATCAGACGTTTGCCATTTTTCAAACAGTTTTGTCAGACTCTTTTCGGAATGCGCGGGTAAATCTGTCACGAGTACCATATAATTTTATTAGATAATATGAGATAATAAGAGTAGATAATAGCTTATCAGTTAACCTTTGTGGTTTCATTTTAAAATTAAAATGTTGGTTTAAGCTTTCGTATCTACAGCTACTTCCACTTAAAGTCAATGGACTGCGTAAATTAGTGATTGAAACAAAGCTTCGAACGTCTTTGGCATCAACTTTGATCCTTTTTTTTTTTAAATCCTTGTACAATTTGTAACAACCAGTGTCTTCATTAGTATTTTCCTGAGCAATTTAACCAAGTTTTAATTACATTTTACGCTTGACTCATTAAATTGGAACACATGACATTGAATGGCTGAGAATGGCAAAGAACTGTTGTTTCCTTGTTTGTCTGGTTAGCAGTATGACTTTTGACGAATGCTTCAATATTTGTATAATACTGGGTGGTATGTACGAGTTGAGAGCATTCATCTGTAATATGAGTTGTAAAAGTGATATTGGATGGCAATTTTAGGGACATCAGATAATGAAAAAGCCATCCAAATTTTATTAATATTGTCTGGTAACACCCCCGATTAATGGCGTAAAACACGGTGGTTTTTTTTTTCAAAATTGTCTGGAAAGACGTTTGGAAGAAACAGACGGCCCTAAACTTGGTACAATTAATTTCCACCAATTTTAAGAGTATGTCGCCTTTGGTTACAATGGCAACTATCTCTTAAAGTTGCCAATTCTAATTAACCTTTAATTTTAATTCTAATGAAAGAAAAAAAAAAATTGGTCAAGTAGTAAAATACGTAGATTCCTTTGAAAAAAATGTAAAAAGCCATTTTAACCAAGTTATGGAATAAACAATATTCTAATTTTAATTTTTAAAAATAGCAAATTTGTTGCCCCAAAAAATCAAAATTATTAAAAAATATCAAAATAATACAGGTTTTTTTTTTTTTTTTTTTTTTTTTTTTTATTCACAAGGTCAGACTAGAGTCAAGCTCAACAGGGTCTTCTTTCCCCGCTGATTCTGCCAAGCCCGTTCCCTTGGCTATATTATATTATCAAAATATAGTTATTTTTTAGATATCCAATTTTTTTTCTTCTGTTCTCTATCTTGCAAACTGTATAGTTATACACAATACAGGGTGTTTCAAAAAAGAGAAACCAGGCTTATTTTGTTGATTTCTATTTGACTAACTATTTAGGAAAAATGGGAACCACCGTTTGTTACATATAACCTTCTTTTTTTCTAAACACCACGAACTCCATTTTACCGTCATGGATGACAGCACCAAGTGATGTTATCGACTTAAAAGAAATTGCCTTGTACCACATGCACCAATTGACAGTTTTCAATATGTTGAAAATAACAATAACCAGGACGTACATTATCAGTTGATTCAG